TCTGACTGTAACCAAGTCAACGTGGACGCTCACACTGACACACGGGCATGAGGTGCGTAACACGGACCAGGACTCATAAAACAGCAACAGTTCAAAACCTGCTACTAATGAGAAGCAGGAGAGTGAAGACTATGGAGGAAGTCAGGAAAATAATGTAAAGTGCCCCCTTCTGGATTTTATTAGAGTTTGAGCATGATTTATTTCCACAGTAAAGACAGATTTGACAGCCTGTTACGGGTGTATGAAGGACACAACTGCAGCACAATAGAGCAGAAACATGGTTTTGGGACTTTAACGTGAAACATATGGTAGCACAAGTCAACAGTTCACCTGTGCTGACAAGAAAACATGCAGTAATTAGAGGTGAAGATGTGAAACAGAGTTGGACAGATCTGTGGCCAGGGTGACAACTCAAAGGGACATTAAACATCAGGTGATGTCACAGCTACTGTAGTGGCTTTTCACATGAACCTCTTATCAAAGCCCAACAATGTTTGTAGCTGTTTATAGGAATTAGTAACTGGTAATACAAGAGATGGAATAATTCCTCTGTGATTAATGTATCCCAGGAAAGAGATTTATGGATGGATGAAATTCCCTTTTTTAAACACAGACAAGATGGCTGGTAATATGGAGGTCAGTGAGAGAAAAGGGTGGAGTAGAATGTTAGATGGGGGGGGGGCTTTACTGGGTTGTGGTCAGCTAAACAATTCCAATCTCCTATCAGTGACACATTCATTGATTATTAACAGGAGGACGAACCGTTGTGTCAATAGACACACTTGAATGAAATATTGGTTTTCTGACGGTGAGTTATGGACCTGTTTTAGAATTCATTCAATTACTGTCACAGAGAGGCAGCGCTGAAGACAACAAACCACATCTATGGATTTCATTGGATTTATGACAGAAAAATACACACAGCACACACGAAAGGAAGAAAACGGTCGCATTTATTGCCCTGCAGAAATGTAGGTGCCTATCAGTACTTCTATTATACTACCATACAGTACCAACCCACAGCCTGGGTGAACAGGATTACAGTAGGAAAAGCTAACAGTGTATTTCATTTATTCATTCTGTGTAGTTCAAATGACTCAAGTTAATAAATTATTAACTTATTAAAGTTAATATTATTAACTTGTTATTAAAATGAGATTTTGATCAATTTTGGTGTAAAATATAAATTGCAAGAAATCATGTTTTAAAGGAGAAACAATTTTTTTTTACTTGAGAAAAGTCCCTGGGATGATTCGAAAAACAGGTCACAACAACATCAAGTCCTACCAAGACAGATGTCACTGTCTTCCCTAAACCAGCAAAGACACAAACTGACCGCCTGACTATTCTTTTTCTTGCTCATCTGTCTCACCGCCCTCACCCCAACACCCTCACCCATCCATCTCTTCTGTCTGACACTTGAGAGAGGAGGATAGGAGAGCTGCTTGCCTCCAGGCCATTAACCAGCACATCTCTATATGCATAGATGTGTGGGCTACACACACACACACACACACACACACACACACACACAGACACTGGTTTTTGTGTTTTATGATAAAGCATCGCTAGCTCCTTAGCCTATCCTCAGCTATTACAAATACACCATCGTGATACTAACCCTAACTCGAATCTGAACCGAATACTTATGTGAACTCCAACGATTAGTCTCCTCTCACTTAGTGGAGAACAGCAAAATGACAGCAGAAGTGCAAAAAAAAAAGTGCCCCACCAACAGAAGTATAAAAATGTTCCCCACAAGTATAGCTATACCAGAAAGCACACACATGCACATACACACAGGAGTTAATCCTCAAAATATTCAAAGCATGCTTTAAACAATGGCACGTGTGCATTAAGGTGATACATAAACCCTTCTAATTGTCATTAACTCCTCCCCCCTCCTGACGCACCACCCCCATTATAAAGGTCAGTGGAGAGTGACTGCAGATACACATGTTTATTGGCAGGATACACCTTCACCTCTGCGAGGACTACAACAATAAACAAACAAAACAAAGACGGCAGCCGTCACGTGTCGCTGCGTCACAGTCACTTCACCTTGGCCTGGTTTTACCAAATAAGCCTTTCTGCACACACACATGCACTCACATAGAATTATCCATAAACTAAAAGAGTTTGGCCTCAGCACTGTGACATAACAGATTGATTGACAAACGGTATTCACAAGCAATGAACTCACTGAGCCTTCTAAAATCACCTTAGAACGTTCTCGATGCTGAGGTGGTTCAAATACTCACCTTCACGATTTCGACAATCCTCACAGTAAACACAGGATAAAACACTTTAATCCACCCTAAATCAAGCACGGGTGGGTAAAGAGATCACTGAGGAGAGCAAGTCCTGACTAGTACTGACTTAGTACCACTATAGGTGATAGAACAGGTGACAAATATGAAGTAATCAGGGTTATTGCTCATGGTTTTCATTACCATCAAATTAAAGGAACGACAACCAGGTGAAAATGAACAAATGAACTTCATGTTCATCTATTTCAACCCACGTTTCTTCTTTGCCTGCCTTTATTATAATTCTCCAACCTTTCCCAGCCTCAGCCAGGCAAACAGGACCGACTTGTTCCCTTTGACACCATGTAATAGTCTCACATCGAAGGCAATCTTATTAGAGCAGAGTGACTAGATTAGGTGCTGCGTCCTGACTGATGATAGGAAATGTGGGCGGCTTGACTTCATCAACGCACACATTAAACCCACCACTTACAATAGAGCTCACTGTCTATTGTCAAATTAGTATCTGAGTGTAATTGTGCAGTTTCTCATGAAATAGCTGAATTCCATTTGGCTGCTTCAGTCTCCGTGTCGCAGTGTTGTTCAAACTGACACCACAGGCCGACGGAGTGGAGGAGAATACAGCCATTGTTGGAGTCATCATCTCTACTTTCTCTGCCTTGACTACACTCAGCACATGCCGGCTGACTTTTCCACAACATAGGGAACTTTTGTCACAGAGGGTTCTGCCAGCTGAAAGTCTGTTGACAGCAAGCCCTCTAGAGGGCATAATTGAGATTGCATGTCAAAGTTTCTCTCAGTCCATCAGTTGTAGAAGTAATAACATATAATTAATTAAGCAATTAAAAAAAAGTGAAATAGTGTGGCAATTCAAGATTATAAAAAGAGGATATAATTTGCCTTGAGTCACATTTCATTTGTCTAAAAATTGCATTTGTTCTGATTTTATTCAAAATATAATATTTCTCACCTCATTTTTGAGGGAGACTTTTTTCCAAAGACACAGGCATGCCCCGGTTTCACACAGAGAAGGTAAATTGTGAGCAAATTGAAACTAGAAAATCATTTGTGACATTTTTATTTTCAATGGTACACTGTACACTTAAATAGATAGATGCAATAACTCACAGAGATTGGAAACCATTAACTTAGATGAAACATAATCTTATAATATACAGTAGTAGTAGGTGCCTGTCAATATTTAGAAGCCCCTAGTCTACAGATAGAATGCTAATATCTAATGCTAACATGTGAATGTACACAATCTGATGCCAGTAAGTTGTGTTGCTGCTGCTTGTGACGCCCTCTCCCACGTTAAAACAAAGAGGCTGGTGAAAGGACCAGGCTCTCCGGTGTTCCCAGCCTTTTCCTTCCTGCCACTGAGAATGAAAGCAGAACGCCTCACTGTGTTTCCTTCACTCAGATGATAAACAAGGGTGACTCAGAAACTACACAGAATCCTGAGAGTGAACAGTGAATGGGTCGCCATGTAAAAACATACACAAAGTGGTGCATGCACATGTATACTGGCTGACTACACTTTAAGACACCAAACTCAGCTCCAACACAGTTTAGTGATGGGTGACTGAGGGTTCTGCCAAGAGGCCAGAGTGGTTGAAGAGGGTCTGAAGATGGGGAAATAGTTCCCATGGCTCGCAAAACAACACTGTGGGTTTTTTTTGGTTTTTTTTAAGCACGATGCATTTAAGTCCTCGCTCTCACTCTGCTGAATAAAGACCCCCAGCAACCACAGCAGGCTGCACCACACAGAGGAAAAAGATCACAACAAACACTTGAGGTTTCTTCACTACATATAGGACTATTAAGTACATAGTGTGGTTGGCTAATTATGGTGCTTTATGTCAGTCAGCAGTGAGCATGTAGGTCCCATTCCCTAGGCTGTAGATGATACCAAGTACATTCTTCTTCAAAATTCTGCTAAATTCTAGCTATCTAAATTATTTTATGTTGACCTAAGCCTGTTCATTTAATGAAACTTTTACATAAGAAATAAAATGGTTTAATTGCTGATTTTCCCCTGGATGTTAGGAACAGAAACTATTAAAGACAATGTGTATGAAGCATGTATTGTGTGCCCTAGCAGCGGTTTTTTTAGCAGCTCACTAGCACAAAGCACAGATATAGTGGTGCGTAAATATGTAGTGTTTGAACGACTACAGTGGCTCACTAGCACATAGCTTTGATTTCATAGCTGCACTAACCCTGCTAACATCTTTGGCTTTACACACAGATCAGAATCTTGGGACAACAAGAACATTAAAAAAACATGGATAATGATAAAGATGTGCTCAATAATGTCCTGTGACTGCTGCATTAAGCTCTTAGAAAATAAATCACAAACATTATTTAACCAAAAGATATCTATTCTGGTTCTAAATTGACATTGGAATGTGTTGATCAAAATGTCACAAATGTTATTATGAAATGAAGCAGTAAATCTTTAGCAAAAGAAAAGATATATTTGTTAAAGAAGCCAAGTACAAACCCTCCATCCCACATGTAAAATAAATCTTACCACAACAGCAGAGAAGACACAGCTCTGAGTTTTTACCTTCCCGGCTCCAAAACCAGTATTTACGTCGTCGCTTCATTTTCAGTCCAGTGTCTTATATTTGAAAAGAAAATTTAATAAAAAAAAGAACAAAAAAATATCCCCTAACAGATACTACTCAAACACTGGTTCTGCTCACTCTCTTTGGATCTACCTACCAGGAGCAACATGTCTTTGACACCACCTTCGGTAACTTGCAGCCAGCCAGTTCATGACGTGTCCACGCAGGCAGACAGGACGTGGTAGACGCAGCAAGTGCAGAGACAGTCAGATAATATAGCCCCCAACTACCAGCACAGTTACACTATTGACAAATGTTCAATTAAATACATGTCTTTCTAAATAAAGTCCAGCCAATAGCATATTTAACTCAAAGCCAGGGGAGCTCCTCTTCAGAAGATGAGCGGTTCTCTGCTTCAAAAATCAAGACTAAAAAAAAAAATCACCCAGACACTCAACACTGTCATCTCCTCTTTGTCTTGCACATCGGATGTCCACGATTTCACAAAGGTGAGAAGAAAAAGATTGGTTAACATAGTTGGCCCACATCTTCCGCTGTGCAACTTCCTCAAAGTGTTCGTCTGATTTAAGCAGGCCAGCAGAGCAGGTCTGAATTCTTATTCTGAGGTTAGACCCAGCGACACAGGTGACAGGAGAGAGAGTGCCGCAGATTTTCTGGAGAAAACTTCAGAGCCTGATCATTCCAGTCAAGAGGGGAAACAACACACACGCTGCAGGCAGGAAACTCTGGCTGGTGCATAGAAGGAAAAAGAATGTTTCCTGCCTGAAATGCTGAAAATATATCTGTCAATATGACATAAAATGTAGGGAATCACGCCAAAGGTATTTATACTTTTCCTGATGTTGTGTATCAAAGCCAGCTGTCAGGTGGAGATAAAATAATAATACACACACACACCCTCACTGTACTGTAGCTGGTGTCGCATACTGTGAACTGACCTAAAGTTCAGTCTCTCAATTTATGAATTTTTACCACCACCTACTGGTGCATCTAAACATTGCAGCACAAAACATAAACATTGCTCGTTGGTGTTACGTGATCGTCAGTGTGCAATTGAGCAATTACACACAGTCATTTCCTGACGTTTGTTATAAACGGAGGTCATATCATTATTTAAACTAAGCAACCCAAGAATTTCCTCCACACCTTGATGGACAGTCACGTCATCTCTGCGTTCTCTAAGGGAATGAAGACTATTTAATTTGCTCCTGTGTTTTTTAGTGGAATGTAAATGTTTTCCAGAGGGGGCAGATTTGATAACAAACGGCCAACTGTTTCTCCTGTGATAATGGAGCAACAATGAAATCTCTCTTAGTCCTCGGATGGACTTAAAGGTGCAGACAACTTCTCACGTCTTGTAGGGCACTATAAGAAATCCCATAAACAACATAAACAACAATCCCAGGTGTAACCAATGGACTCTCTGTATTTGGATTGTATTCATAGCATATCTAAACTGCTTAGTGGACAAAGGACACTTGCCATACATATACACTAAGGTTATGTTGAACAAAGCTTTAACCTAATGACCATATTATTCATGTAACATATACCTAAATATCTGACAAAAAGCTGTAAACTTTGAAAACAGTTTAAAACTGAGTTAAATAAAGATTGAAGAAAACCAGTAAGCCAAAACCAGAAACAAACAGTTAGTTCATGTTGCCTTGCAAAATCATACAGCCTGCAGAGCATATATCACAGGAGCAAAAATTAAATGTAAGAGTATCTTTTGACAGCAGATATGAGTCACATTAAACCCTGTGACCACAGATCCAAGGTTGTTTACCTGTTTATGTTTCTGTGTGGTATGGAAAACCATAAAGTTATGGACTCAGCAGCTGTTGTATCAGGTTATCAGGGTTTCAAATGAATCAGCATGTTATATTGACAGGACAGAGGTTTATTACTGTTAAATAATTTAACTGAAACTTTGAAAAACCTCTATGTCATAGGGTTTGACAGTGTTTTAAGACAGAGTCATCATTAACTGTGTTGAACAAGGAATCCCTTATTGCCTTAAGTGATTTAAAGCCAGTGGAGGGACAGTGAGATAATTCAGATCAAGCTGAATGAACATCAGTGTCAGGAGACAAGACAATGGAAGTAACAGTCCCATTGCTGTTGTCGGTGGGGACGGAAAACACACCACTCCTTTGTTGACGACCGATACAACCCTTCTCACAGAAACACAGACTGAGGCAACTCCTCAATAAATGCCCCTCTGCATGTCAGCTATAATAGATATTTGTGCACAGAAAAAAAAAAGCCGTAATCTCTTTCCAACAGAACCAAACATCCTCTGTATATTCCACACGGCTCAAATCATAGGGAAAAAGCCAATGCCAAACCACACAGGAAACTTAAAGTGTAAAAATATATTAGAAATGTTACTGAGCAACAGTATAGCGAGTTTGTCACAGCTTCCTTACAGAATCCATCAATAAAATATGTCAAATGAGACAAATTGGATTCATATACAGTATATATACAATTAACACAATATTCAGTATATATAACAATAACTAATATTAACACATGTAGTATATATATTATATTTAACATAGTTCTTTATTAAAATGTAATTTTGTAATTTTTTCTGTACATTTTAGTGTTTTGACATGAGGTCATAGCTACAGAAATGTATCAGGTAAAAAGGTTTTCTGGAAAACCAAGCAGGGAATTCACAGGTTGGACTAATCTATTGGCACACAGCAATTAAATTATATATCTGCATATTCTGCCGTTTGCGTCACTTCCTGACTGACATTATACTACGTGCAGACATGTGACTCACGTTGAGAACCAAGGTCCAAATCTTACCGAATGAAGCAGTAGTGCGATCAAGGGATGCATGTTTGCACAAGCAGAGTTGCAAGATAAGAGAACGTTATATCAGTCTGCCTCCGTAGTTCAAGTCTGGGCAAATAGCAAACACATGGATATTGATCTTTTTTATTTATTTATTTTTTGTCCCTGTTCAGTCAGAGTTAAGTCTGGTTTATTCCATACCAGTGAGAGAGCTAGTTTGCAAAAACGCATCAAAAACACGGTGACCTGCTACAAACAACACAGTTTTCTAATGACCCCTTCATAAAATAAACTCAGATTACCTGTGGGTAGCAAAACATTAGCTTTGTTGATGTAGGCTCTGCATCACCCAACACTGTGGACTAACTTCATTCTTGCTAGGTCACTGACAGACCTAAGGAGCAGTAAGGCACTGTGTTAACAATAAAGTAATGAGTAATAAACCCAAAGGTAACATGGGTTTAAGTAACATCATGGACTACCATGATTAATTTATTGACTCAGAAATGGCTCCTGTAGATGCAGCATGCACTTCTACAGTATGATATGATATGGCCTAGTCGTATCATTGTTGCATTTTGTGTTGACATTGAATATTTCCCTGGACCGCTGCTTGAGAACCAGCCTCAGAGTATGAATAAAGACAAAAACCACATTTCTGATGCTACCATTAAAAACAAAACTCACCCAAATACTTGAAGATTCTGCTGACGTTTTAACTTCAACATTGGAATCTAAAGAACATTGTAAGAACTGTTGTTTCCAGAGTGGGAAAAGAGTGCCCTGCAGCCTTTAGGTTGTGTCTCAACAGGCTGAGGCCTGTCTGTGAAACAGCCTTCATACCTGCTGAGCAGCCACAGTCTGGTGAGGTGTAAACAAGAGCTGAATACTGTAATGTAGGTGTGGACAGCTGAGTAACACAGACACACTGGTCATCCCATGCTTTCTCAACCAGACCAGCAAAAACAACATAATATGACAAGTCCCAAACACTGAGTCACAGGAAAGGGCATTTACAGCTGCACTGACCCTCAGACAGAGCTGCACACAGATTCGTTCTTTAACAAAGCCCACCACTTAACCTTTTCCCACACCGTTCAACATTGTCTGGAAAAGTTGTCTTTTGACATAGTGAAGTACTTCTCCCTCCAAACGTACCTGTCTCCTCCACCTCTCCCGCGTCCATACTTCGTTGTTTCCTTCGAAAAGCGACTCTGTTGAATCCGTCCATTCTCCTGTGCAGCACTGGCTTCTCCAGCATCGATGACGTTACATTGAAATTATTTACAAACAGCCAAACGTAACAGCAGCAACAAAATAAATCCACAAACGTCTCTGGAACAATCTCAGCCCCGCGTTCATGCTGTGCGTCCACTCCCACGTGTGTACACAAGTGACGAGATTAGTCTCTACCACAGCTGCGGCTGCTACTACTGCTGTGTGGATTATGCTGACATCTAAGTTGCGAAAAAGATGGACTAATGATAGTCTGCAGCTGCCCACATGTGGATACAACGATTCCACTGTAGCGCCACCTTACTGAAGGTGTTGTACTCGACACACCCATTCCCTTCTGCGCCTTCCCGTACACATCCTCATTCTAATTTTGCACGTCACAGTCGATTGATTCCCAGGGGGTAAGAGAAGGGGGCGCTCCCTAGGGCCGGTGCAGAGCAATTGCAGGGGGTGCGGCAGTACTCGGACCAACTACAGATCGATGCTGGACATTAAAGATTAACTGAGGAAATTGCACTTAGTAATTTAACAGTTTGATGAGAATATCAGTTATTTATGAATATATGAGTGATTGAAATAAAGTTCAGCTCTTAATGTTTTGCAGTTCAAGAAAGAGGAAGGGAAAGGGAGGGTGGTTTGCTAATAGTTCTGTATGTAAATGTTGTTGTAGTCTCTCTTTCTCTCTGTGCAAACTTTAATCACAGTACAACTTGTTAGTATGACCTAGTATTCAAAATAAATATAAAGGCATTTCTAAATGAATTTACAAAAAATATAATTCCTTTTGCTGATTCCAGGTTTGGTAACTTTCAGGAGGATAAAGCAGTGGGCAGCTGGTATTTTGTGACTTTAAAAAAAGAAGCCTGGCTACAGTTGTTGTTAGTGTTTCCATTACACATGCAGTTTATCTCTCATTGTGTCTTTTATGGTGTGCAAAGATCAGCATGATCCAGCAGGATGATCAAGGAGTACAGGTGTTTATATGGACAGACCCTTCCAGTAGTGCAGCTAACCCAGACCAGGTGAAATTATATGTCACTGGAACGGAAGAAATGTGACTCAAACTGGTCTAGTTACTTCTAAATAACCTGGAAGACTAAAAATGATGCCTGTGAGTGTGACCTGTGTCTAGCTGACCTGTGACCTATGTTGACCTATGTCACATGGTAGCATTTTAAAGTCCATTACCAAATATCCAGTGACCAATTAAAGCAGAGAAACAGCCTAAAGCCTTTGACAACGAAGGGCTCAAAAAGTAAAACATCAAATCAGAAATTCTGAAATTAAAACAAATAAACGTTATTATGCCATGGACCAAAATAAATATAATTTTTTGACCGTAACAAGATAAGGAACTGTAATTCTTTAGTTTTGCCGTTGTTGTTTTCAAACCGTAACAAGATAAGGAACTGTACTTCTTTAGTTTTGCCGTTGTTGTTTTCACACTTAAAAAAATAAAAAAGACATATTAATACCTCTGGATTAGTCACCTCTGAATATTTACCACCAACGTGGTTAATGATCAGTTACAGTTAACTGTACTTTTTAACTCACACAAGGTCACGCAAAAATTCAAAGACAGGCTTTTATTTTGTGTCAATTTCAATTTAAGACTCATTTTAAAATGAGGAAAACATTTGTAAAACCCACCGAGGATCATCACAGTCCTGTCAGTCATTTTAAACATCACTGCAGCCATCAGAGCTTACTCACTAACGCAGGTGTTAGATGTTGTTCTTACCACCACAGGTTAGTTAAACATTCTTTTGATGCCGACACAACAATGACATATGTCCACAGTCACAGAGGCTAAACAGACTCTTCCCGTTTTACAGAACAATTCTTTTTCCTTTCGATCAGTCGTCTTTACAACACAGTTCTATGATGTTCGCCATCGTCGCACCCTTGTGGCAAAAGTGAAGATAATAATACTTAAGAGAAAATGGATGAAGGGATGGGACTTCAGTTGTGGAATTAATGTCAGAAATTGCATATCCCAAGGCTCTTGCTGTCTTCTTCTTGTCAGTCTGCTGGTTAGTTCATGGTGAAGGGTATAATTGATGCAAACATGATCAGGTCCAGACTTCAACTGATTCCACTGCTGTATTGCTGTGAAGTCTACTGCAAAATTGTGCTTGAACAAGAGATCAGGAGATTTGAACTGAAGATATAAGGAGTTTGAACCAATAATCTGATTGACAAAATAAATGGCTGAGGATATGACAGGTAAATTCATCAATCTGCTATACTGTGATACTAGTTTTATATCCACCATAATGTTGACACTGAGGTGATAGTAAATGTTTTTGCTGGAAACCATTGTGGTCATCTTCGACTTGTCACTCCGTAGTCAACCTGCGCAAATCACGTCTCCTCTAAAACCCTAGCTCTAGTTCTCATTTTACATTTTACCCTGGTGTCACAGGCCACATCTCTACAAAATAAAAACATATAATGTAAAAAAGGTTTTAAGAAAAATGAACAAAGGCATTCCCAACATGTCTACCCAACAGAATCGTAACAAATATTTTTTTCTGCAAAAGCTTTTTGCAAAGTTGAAAGCTAAATAAATAAACATTATTCTATCATATTCACACACATTAAATACAATTACAGTAAGGCCAGGGCAGTCCAGTTGTGAATCAGTTGTCATTTCCAATGACAGTTTTGTTTGCATTGTTTAGTGGAGTTCCGTCCTGATAATGGACAAATAAACCCGAATGACCCTGTAATAAATACCTCAGATCCTCCTCACAGATAATACGCAAATAAATAGTCAATAAGTTATCAATAAATACTGGTAGTAAATCCCATCATTTCTCTGGCTGCTTTGCCTCAGTCCATTTCATCAGCAGGACAAAATGGTACTTCCAGAGAAGATGAGAACTTTCTGTTCTAAATCGTCCGGCACTCGGAGTTGGGGCGTGGGAGTCACGTTAAGCACCAGGTTAGATAGAACATTGGTAGAGATAAACGTAAGGATGTTCTGTCTGTCTGTCTGCACTGTAAAGCACAGCGCCTGGGGCTGAAGCAGGTTGAGTTCAGGGTGGATGGGGTTGTTGGACCACACCGTTTGGAGGATCACAAGGGGAGAAAAGGTTACTGATGCTGGAGAGTAGTTCTTGGTGTTCCTTGTTTTCAAATTTAGGACTGTAGAGGAAAATAAGATAGAAGAATCTTATCTTAAGAAACTCAGTGAGTATTGGACTGCAGCTGATAGAGTAGAATACTGTGGCACATGAAAGAATACTAGAAAGAAATACCACCTCTGTAAATATTTGGCTGTACTAAGTACTGCCAGTAACATTAAAATGAAAACATTAAACTGTAGCAAAAATGAAGACAATACCAAACAATTAGACAAAAGAATTCCAGTTGTTGGTTAGTGAGGTGTTAGTGAGAATACTCCAGACAAAGACCACCATTTTTTGAGTGGTGTTTGCATTGTTGCTTATAATGTGTAAATAAATAAACAATAATTAAAAGTGCAAAATGATCATGCAAACCAGCACATGCAGTATGAACCAGATGTCGCTCCAACTGTTCAAAACATACTGTGGTAAAAGGGTCTTAAAAGACTTAACCATCTTATCTAATGAAAACATGCAGGTTAACAGCTAAGGACAGCCGTGAATTTGAGCTAGGTTGCTAGAAATTGAGACAGAAACTAACTAACTAGACAGCTGATAGACAGACAGATAGGCAGACTCTATTTCTACCGTTCCGGCAGGTTCTACATCTTGTTACCTGCAGGCTAAGGAGGCTCTCCCTCGCCTCAGTTGTGGGGAGAATGTCGGTACTGAGGCAGCAGGCTGCTGACAATCTACAAGAAACTGATAAATTAGACAGATATACAGAGTGGTGACACTCGGGGTGAGACAAATGTACAAAGAACAAAGGGGAGGGGAACGACAGGAAAAGACCTGCCACATTTTTTGACACTACTGCAATTTTAGCCATCATACTATCACGTACACATAACATCGTGGAGCTTTTTATAGCTGCATATTCTGTTTGTGGAAATCTGATACATGTTTATGTCATGTGACCAGCTCCACAACCAACACTGCAGTAGAACGTTACAGGGCCATAGAGACAACGTTGACATTGTGACAAATACAAATGCAGTATTGCACACATTTGTGAAGCACACAGACAGACTGACGCTGATGACTGATACTGAACAATCCAGTCCTCAACTCAACTAAATACCTGTAACTCTATTTTACAGGTTCACCAGAATATCACCTAAACCTATACCATACAGTTAACCATAAATAAATAAAGATAGGACTTGTTTACAAATAAAAAGTATGACAGCAGAGAAGAAGGGAAATGTAATCAGACACTGTCATCAAGTGTCGAGGTGGAAGGACTACAGTTGTGATGTGTTCAGAAATATAACCTAGTCCTGGGGTCTGTTTGATTGAAAAAGTAATTATCAACCCAAAATATCACAAGTGGATTGCAAGAGGGGTGGAATTTGAGCTGAAGTATGCTTAAATGTAAAGAGAAGAAGGCTGGACTCTCATCCTGGTGGACGACATGTGAGAAATAGTTTTGATTAACACACCTTTTAAAAAACGTTCACATGTGATCACGGTGATCATGAAAATATTCTCTCTCTCTCTCTCTCTCTCTCTATATATATATATATATATATATTACATCATGAAAAAATTACTTGATTTACTTAATTAAAATTGAATATAACAGTTTGCAATGTAGGAAAAAATCCTCTTATATTCTCATATGTAATTTACAGTATTTGCCACAACGAGGCGCTGTTGGATGTTGAAAAATATACTGCAGCTATTTTTTTGTGCCTGGCTTTCAAATTGTCGTACTTTCTAGACACCATAAGAGGGTGTGGCAGGAATATTTTGAAAAACATTTTTTTTTTTAGAAAAGTCCCTAATGTCAAAAAGTTAGGGTTTACATTTGTTATGAGTGATTAATTTTACCCCTATTACTCCCATCCCCACAAATAACATGTTTTTCTGAATTCTTAAGTTAGTCAACCAACAAGTCAAAGTAAGATGAAGAGTTGAGTTGAAGCTCAGAGCTAGATTGTTTCAGACATGAGGATGAACTGGTGCGTGACTCAGCTTAGGGCATGGACACAAACTACAGTACAAGAGCACTTATGTAACTTACTTTGGGTGGACTACTTTTTATCTTGGGCACTTTAGCACCGCGGCCTCTGTGGATCTGCTCATGGTCAAACTCCAGATCCTCCAGGCGTTGGGTCAAAGCTAACTTCTGTTGAATAGCCATACGGAGAAGGGAGTTCAACGTCTTCTTCTCATCCTCTGCCGCAGCCAGCTGTCTCTGCATCTCGTCCAGCTGGGTGACATACTCATCACACCTGAGAGGAGTGAGATACACAGAAAAATGTATTATTTGCAGTATAATATGCAGAAATAAAATTTCCCAGTGTGACGTTTTACCTCGTGGCAAACATGGCCCTGAGAGAAGAGAACTTTGCCGCATCTTCTTTGAGAGCCTTCAGCTCATTCCTCAGCTTCATCATTGTCTCTGTCACCATGCACTTTTCATTCTCATACTTGCTTTTTAAATTAGCCAGTGCAACCTCTGCAGTCTACAACGAAGGGGAAAAAGCATTTCACTTTCAGTAACCAAGGAAACTGTATTTTTTTATCTTTTTGCAATGTACTGAGAAAAAAACAAGAGCTTCACCTGTTTGTTGGCTTTGAGCACCAGCCTGAGGGTGGCTATCTGCTCTCTCTTAGTGCTGATCAGAGACTTGAGTTTGAGGATCTCCTCCATGCATGACTCTTTGTCCTTGTCAAACATCGGTGCGAGTTCTCGGGCCGCTGCTCTCTGCTTGGACAGTTGCAGCGAGCGGTCAACAGCCTTCTGGAGGTGCTTGATCTGGTCTTTGATGATGGCATTGAGGTTGTAGATATTCATGGGCTCTTTCCTCAGATCTCCTCCCGCCTCTGAGGGCAGCGGGGACGAGCAAGGTGAGACACTGATACCTGGAGAGGAGGTGAGGTTACGTGTCGGGCTGCTATGGCAGGATAGTGGAGAGTCCACAGTGTGGCCTGTCCCCTCATTGTGATAGGCCTCCTTAGAGGGGGAGTCCATTGGACTCCGGGGACACTCAGAGGAGCAGGCCGCAGCCACGGCAGCCAGGCGTCGGGCTAGCCGAGGAGAGAGTAAAGCCCTGGGATCGTCTGAGCCTTTCAGGCTGCCGCTGCGTGTGACCCGGCTCTGACGGTAATAGTCCAGCATGACGCGGTTGGGTGTCTCATTGTTGCACAGACAGACATGGTGATACAGCTGTGCCAGCTCTTCACTGAAGGTCACCAGCTCGTCCTGTGCTGCGTTCAGCATGCTCTGGCTCTCTGTGGCCATGTTGGTGGACGCCCTGAGCTCTGCCTCCAGACTTGAGACTCTCTCCCGACTCTCACGGCTACAGCGCTCCAGAAGAGTTACCTGCTTAGAAGATAACAGATACAAACAGATAGAAATGTTGAATGATGCAAAAGGAAAACAACAGGTACAGCAACGTACTCGGTTTAACAACAACAAACCTGTTCACTGAGCGTCTGGACCCTGTCATCACTTTGGTTGTCTCCATGACCCTCCACAGCCTGGTTATACTTCTCCTTCAGGGCCTTGAGCTCCGCCTTCAGGTCGATCACCTCCGTCACTGCCACCTTGTACTTACACTCTAGTATTTCAAACCCGTGGATGTCGCAATCATGTCCATTTGCTGGCGGTGACCCTGTCCCTCCATCGGGCTTTTCACTCTCATGTGAGTTATCGAGCTCCTTATCTCCGTTGATGCCTTTCATGGCATTGACGTGTTCCGTGAGGCGATGCAGCCGCTCGTTCTGCTCCGTCAGGGCGCCCTGGGTGTGCTGCAGCTGGGTCTGGGACTCCTGCAGGTTCATGAGCAGGGCTGCCTTCTCACGCTCCACCTGCAGGTTGGGAGAACACATGCAAACATAAACAGTTCATCCAGACCATATTTTTGTACGGCACTGATACCATCAGTTCCGCTACAGAGATTCCTCGGTTCATTCATTCATACAGTGTTAAAACACAGAGATTGTATCTGCTACAGAGATTCCTTGGTTCATTCATTCATACAGTGTTAAAACAAGGCTTTGTTTACATTGACCAGTTGTACCCCATACACTGGATTGTGCTGCATTTCAATCAGTGTTGTGTGTTTTCCTACTTGAATTCAACGTCTCGTTGCAGACGTTGCTGGTTTATTAAATCACTCCGACGATGTCAGCAGTTTGGAAGTATTTTTAAATCTGGCTCTGCTAACTCAGCTAACATCAGGAACCTAAATGAGCTGCCACACTGTATCGATGAGTAAATTAACAGAATCACAATGAGTACAGAGAACCGATCACATGACGAGTGATATGCACTAATAGTTCTGCAGCTTTATTTATTATTAATATAATTTAGCAAGAAATTAAAGTCTGACTTTGGCTCGCGTATAAATGTTTTTTTTTCTGTAATATCAAACCAGTTACAGAATATTGATTAAGGACTAATTGTATTTAGTCAGAGAGGCACACTGCTAACACAGCAGCCACTGATCCAATTATTTGTTTACCCGTGCGACTCAGCAGGGGGAAAATGCATTGTAATTATTTAATTTGATTTTAGCATGATTGTGATTTATTGACGTCATGTGTGCTTCAAAGACACCAAGTACTACTTCGTTGAAATATTACAGTACTGCAGTCACTATCCATATCAGATATTATATGACATGACAATAGTGAAATGCAAAACAAGGCATTTGTAAGATTTGGGAAAAAACTTTATTTACAAATATATACTGCAAATACATGTAAAGGGAGTGTAAAAAAAGTGTTCAGTGTTCCCTGGACTTTTCTTCTGATTATGAAATTAAGCAATATGATAACACTGAAATCAATGAACCAAAGGCTGCTAGGAATAGGATGATGGTGACCTGTTTGTGCTGTATGACATGAAGTCTAGACTGACTATTATTTGTGTGTATATATGTATATATAAATATAATGTACATTTTATTTCAGTAGGGACATTTTACGTCTTATGTCTTATGTTTTTATTTATATTAATCTTAAAGGTTAAAGGGTTAATCCGATTAGTCTCATTAACTAGTATAGTATAACTAGTATAATTAACTAGTTTAAGGATTATGGAGGGTTTTCTCAGGTATTGTGAAACAACATTACAATGAAGAGATTATCTTATCTTTATTGCAAGTTTTAGATTGGTAAACAAAAAAGTTGATTTACTGTGTTTACTACGTTTGCTTAAAGACTTTTTTAAAAACATTTCTTACCTGCAGCAGCTGCTGTTTGAGTTTCTGCATCTCTGACAGGTTGAGTTCACTGAACAGGTCTGGGACAGGGTGCTGAGCTTCACCTTTGCGACCCTGGCGATACTCTGCATTAATCTTAGTCAGTCCCGTGCCTGTGTGAAGGTGACCATTGCGCCAGTTGCTGTCCTCATTATTACCGTTAGCAGCAGTGTTGGTGCTGCTGTTGGTGCTGTTGGTCCCGTTGGTCTCCTCTGGGAACTTCAGACCCTCGACACCAGTGACGGTGAGCGCCAGATGGGCCCCTGCTCCGTACACGCTGTCACTCAGGCAAATGTGGTGGGCGAGTTCCTTTCTCAAGTTGTTCTTATGCTCACGCTCGCTCTTCAGAGAGTCCAGGGCCTCCTCTAACTGTCCCTGAGAGATGTCTTTGAGACGTAGTGCGTCTTCAAGTTGGCTGTTGAGGAGCACAGTTTCTTCTTCCAACACCTTGATTTCATGTTTCAGTCCCTCATATTCAACCTGGGGACAGAAGGACACAGTATGTTGACTTTTGCTAAAAGACCAGAATGTCAAACAGTGCAGATACAACAACTTATACTAACACGTTTTCATATTAAGACTGAGATTCTACAGTACAGCAAATACAAGACAGACTGTTGGACAGTGTGGACTGAGTGGACAGGAGTCATAATCAGTCTTCAAACTGACCTGGTTTTGTTTCAGTGTTGAGACCAGCTTCTGCAGTGTGATGTTTTCTTCCTCCAGCTCAGTGTAGTCCTGCAGAAGTCTGGTCTCTCTGAATTTGTACTCCTTTATCTCCTCTCTCATCCTGGTCCTCTGTAACTCCAACATCTCATTGCTCTAAAAGGGAGAGAAGAGTGGTACGAAGAGGGTAGAACGATGAGAATCACTTTCATAACAGGAAATATGCAGTGCAGTTTTTAAGATTTAAAGCTCTCATAGAATTCTGACAGACACTTCATCCTAATCATTTGGCCACAGCAGGTTTAAAAGTCGGAGAGTTCACCAGTCCATCAAAGAATCAGACCAACACATGTTCCTTCTCACATTTACAGCTATGATTAAGTCAGAGGAAACAGTTAACATGACAATGAGGAAACAAGTTGGAGACAGAAATCATACAGAAAGGTTGCTGTTAGGCAGGAACACTAGTCACTCTTCCACTGTGAGATTCCTGATAATAAGTCAGCAGCCTCTCCCTCCATGAACACACAGTCTGGAAGACTCACACCTCTCCAAAAATAGACAGTGAATCATCAGTCAGCAGGCTGCACTACAGGAGAATCATATGATAAAATATGCTAAATACCAGCCATACAATCTGTGCTCACCAAACCACACACACAACAGGTCCTTCATTTAACACATTTACTAATAAATTCAAATGGAATCATTTTTGCAAAATGAACGCTACAGAAATTTTATATGAAATAGCAGAACTGCACAGATAAAAAACATTTATGAATATGAAGGGAGAAAATTATTCAGTACAATACTGAGCCAAAACAGACGGCTGATACGAAAGGAAGAATGTTGAATAATAAAGAATGAGTAGAGTACGTGTGTGTACTTCTCTCACTGCAGTGCTCCTGCAGCGCCCTGTACATATGGCAGAAGTGCTGACCCACAGACAGTGTGATACTCTCTCAGGAGGAAGGAGCTCGCCCAGCACAGACACATGAAGCCTTTCAGGGATTTAAACCTCCACAATCTTTATATATTTATGTGTGGGGGTGGATGGGAATTTTAGAAACTAGCAACTGGAGGTAAACTAGAGATCGTTACGCTTGACTGAATCTGTTGTGCCAGGGTTGACAGCAGCAAACAAATCGAAACAGAGAGAGGACACATCAGTATTCTATACACAGTGACTTTCTCTGCTCATGTCTCCACTAAATAATCCCATGGTGAGTCTCTCCCCGCTTTTTCCCATGTTGATAAAGATTTAATAATATATAACAGGGGTCCAAAACCTTTTCTGCAATTCTCATTGACCAAAGGAAAAAAACAACAAATCAATAGCAGTTCCGCTTCGTGGGAAAGAGAGACTGACTGGAATTGGCTAATTTTCCTGCATGACCCACTGCACTTAAAAATGAGTTTGCACTTGAACTCTCAATAATTTTGTAGGTACTGAACATCTTATTTGAGGCTCGAGAACAAAGCTGAAAGACACTTTACTATTTAGTTTATGCTCTCAATTGAATTGAATTTGAACCAGCAAAAATCAGTATCTGCAAGTCACACAATCAAAACTCAGAATACTGAAACTGGATGTTGGGCCAGTCCGTGCACCCCACTTTGAGAATTACTTATATTATAAAAAAATCGCATACATGCTCTTGAACTATTGGTTCAAAGCCTGATTCTGACCATTCCTTCCTTATGTAAAAACAGCTTATTTAGGGTCCAAGCAGCAGCTGTCAGGACGGGGGTGATGTAAATATTGGCCTTGAGCCAGCCGAGGGGCAGAGCTCCGGCCCACCCCCTGACCTGATGCTCACAGAACTACGGTAGCGACAGCTCTGACACATCAGTGAAACACTGGCAACCGTGGCAGACGTCCAGGCATGTCGTTTTCATTACATTCATCATCCTGAGTGCTGGAGCCCGGCTACGGGAGGGACATACAAGTGTCCCCACCCCCCCCCACCTCCCGCCCCACATGATGGATGTGGACACATTCCTCAATCGTCCTATAACTTTCATCATCTGGGGCCAATCATCTCAGTACATCTTCATTACTGTCCTGGTGAAAATGTGTGCAATGCTTTTAAAAACATTATCAATGAATTCCCCTTTTAGAAAAAAAAAACTAAAAATGATGCAAACAGGTTTTTTTTTTGCTTTTAGGCAAAGATGGTATGATTGAAGCAAAAGCAGAGTAGACGGTAAATGTCATCCGACTGTAAATTGACAACAGCTATTTTGTTTCATAATACTGAATATCCATTGTAAAGTAGAGTGTGTTTTAATGTGGACAACTGAGTTGTAAGGCTTCACCCTAGTTCCAAACACAAACCCCGTCAAACACATTTTGCTAATGAAGTTGCGTGTGCTGTGGTTGAAGTGTTGCTGTGTGAGGACGGTGCTCGGCTCACTCTGTCCTCCACATATGTCCAGCTCAGGGCATTTCACTTATTTCCCAGCTTAGCAACAGATGTACTCCTCCAATGGGGTCACGACCCTGTTGTTTGACTCCTGCTTCTGTGTCACTGAACATATTGGCTGCAAACAACTATACATGCATGAAGGCATGCTATTGCTGACTCCAGCTAATCTGCGCCACACTGCTTTCTTTACTGAGATTGCAAAACATTTACAAGAATAACCCCCATGTTTTTTTAAACATTTAAATGAAACAATTACTATGATTTCCAAAACACATTGGTGCAATTACTCTCTCTCTCTCTCTCTCTCTCTCTCTATATATATATATAGCTTGCACATGCAGCTAATAATACTCCACGCTGATATACTGTTTTGTCATATATATACTATATTTTGTCATATAAGACTAATACCCAGTATCTCTCTTGCTTTGTCAATGACTTATCATTAGGTTTCTGACTGATGAGTTCAACAGCTCATTTACCTCTCGCAGCTCTTGCACAAGCATGTTGAGGCGCTCATTTTCCGCCTTGGAGTTGGAGGCCACGGAGCGACTCATTGTCAGCTCGGTCTGCAGCTCCAACAGGCGGCTGGTGTAGTAGGCCTCCTTGGAGGCAGATTCTTGAAGCAGCGTCTCCTCATTGCTCTCCCCGTCCTCTGCCACTTTGCGCTGGTTGGTGTAGGCCTGGCCAAACGCCTGCAGAGAAGGAGAGCATGTAGTTAGATACAGTAGATATGATCCAGATGCTTCCATATCTGTGGACAAGTAGAGTAAATCTGTCATAGATGCATGTGTTTACTGTCTTTCTCTGAGGACTGTAGAGACTATCACTGAGACAACTGCTTTCCTTCTTTGTGGTTGCTGTTTCACCATGATCAATAGAAACACTGTTCCAATTTTACTGACACAGGTTTTCACAACACTGACAGCTGACTTGTCGCGATGAAGGACGGTGGACCTGATGAAGATCATTGCAGGGAGGGGAGAGAAACAGGCCTCTAAAGGCCACGGTAGATCAGTGGAACAAATGGACCAGCGCTGTGTCTACTGACTTATTTCCTTTATTTATAATTTTACTCTTCAGTAATATGCAAAATATGGTAATAAAAAAACACAGTGGACTCAATGTGAGTGACAGGCTCTTTGTAAAGTGCCTATTGATTTGTAACCATGTGAAACTGTAAACAATACTGTACATCTGGTTATTAAAGAACGCAGTTCCTGGACAGAGTTACTCGAGAAAATCGACCCTGCATCCTTAATCATAACGGCTCCATTTTGAACTAGGCATATTAATAATTCACAAACGCAGCCTCATGAATCCCATGCCGCTCTACAGTAGCAACTTTTCCATTTTAAATGAATTATTTATAAGCAACAGGCAAGCTTTGTTGGAGGAAAATGCGACCTTCAGTGTCCAGCTGTTCTGTTCTTACCACCACAGTCTTTGTCGTTGTTGCTGATCATTTTTATTATTACTTTTTTTTTCATTTTAAGGCATTTATTGTTCCACTAGTGCAGTAAAGGAAGTGGGTTTAAACAGGAGGGGCTGCATTATTAACCATAGTGATGACAAGAGTCACGGTGATGAGAGATGAGTGAAGTGAAGGCCGGCCACAGTCAATGACCACATACTGTATGTCTGTCACAGGAGACCGGCTGTTTCAACAATCGGCACCAAAAGTGAAACACCAGACAACAACACCGTCCTTTCACCGTCTTCAAGCTCAAACAGCTGATGTTTCTGCAAACACACATTTTAACTTACTGAAAAAAACCCCCCAGATAAATATTTTGTCAACCAGCCCGCGGAGGATTGCCAATATATCAGGAGTATTTATATTTAAATAAACACAGTTTCTCCCGCTTTGAATTGCAAATATAACTTCAAGCATGTAAATAACAGGCCGTTATAGACTTGTCATTCTCCATATGTACTTTGCTGCCACGCTACCCACTGCCCTCGCTCACTCTCTGGGGCACAGTGTGATTGTGGTGAATGATGAAGTGGGAGGGCTGCAGGAACAAAACAGCTAATTAATTCCAATGACACAATGCGAACGACGCTCCAGATAAAGAGCTTCCAATGGTTTTCTGGGCCTCTCACAGCAACAGCTGAGCCTCACAGGACGAGAGAAAGTGTGAAAATCTGTCCCTTTGACGTCCAGCTGCTGACCCTTAGGCTCTTAAAAAAGGAAGAAAACAGCTATTATTTTATTCACTATTTTTACCATCTGGGTTTTTAAGCTTGCCACTGCCTGACTGTATTTGTTTACTAGCAGGTTTAAAAGAAAAGACTAATTGTTTAACGTAGGTCAATAGTTGTTTTATGGCCACACGAGTAAAAAACACTAAACTAAATCGTACTTTTGGACCTAGCCTGCTGCATACAGCAAACCACAGTGAGTGACGTTGGCTTTAGACAAGACACTGGGACATAGGACAGGGCCGTCCTGTCCTAGAGTTTTAATAACACGTGGACAGCTCTTTATTTTTCTGACTAATTACGTGAAGAGCCCTGTAATAATGATGGATACAATAATAACAGTGATCGATCTTCATTGTTTCATTCTGTTTCTGTGAATGTGTGCTAACTGGTGAATATAATGTTCAAGGCACAAAATAATGACAGAGGATTAAAAGCAATTACCCTTTGTGTAAGATGACTCTACTAATTGGAATCTGGGCCTGAATCACCATAATATATTCAATATATTCTGCCTGGATGGATAAAGTCCAGACAATGAAGTCAACCTCCTGTGGAGATTCATCCCTCAAGCCATGGAGAGAGAAAAACACACAACTGCTGCCCCAGTAAGAGAGGAGGAATGTGTCTGGGAGTGTATAACCCTGAAATCCATACTTTTCTGCTGCACTCCCTAATGAGGAGCCAGGGGAGCGCCTGCAGGTGTGTGATTCCACGGTGTGTGTGTGAGAGATGCTATTTTTTACACTCGTAAAAAAAAGGAATAAAAAGAGTATTATTCTCACAGTAGCAACATGCTGCAAATATCATTTAAATGCATGAATATATATATATATATTTGACTTGTTTAAGTTTGTGCAGAGTGATAGACTAGTATCTGTCATTTATGTAGCCCACCTTCACCAACTGACTAGGATTAATAAATAATTAAAATACATCTAAAGTGCATACATGATATCAACAATAACGATGTCATTTCAAGTCGAATTCCTCTGGAGCTTCATGTTGATATATTTGTGTTTATGTGTGTGTGAAAGAGTACATGCACAACAGTATTGTGTGTGGAGTTTTATACTGGGATATGGATGGTCTGAAAAAAATCTGACTCCTTGTACCACAAACCCCTTACTGCAACGTGGAGGCTGGAGAACAAGTCAAATTAAAAAATGAAAATAAAAACATGTAAATAATTCAAAACAAGAACACGGCCTCAGAAAGCCGTACATAATTCAACAAAAGACAGCAATGAAAACACACGAGAGTCAGAGGGCATCATGGGAGACTTCAACCTTCAGTCACAACATCTAAGCATACATCAGCCTGTGGTGGAGACACACACAGCAATATATTTACAAATATCCTGTTTATATAACTCCTACATCTGACAGCCAGTCACAGTTCTGGTTATAGTTGAACATCCTACAATCAAAATATCTAATATCCTTAAGTATTTTTCAGTAGTAAATCCAAATCACTTCCATGACAACATAATAAAAAAGCTGTATTTTTTTACGAGGCATTTCTTCCGCGTATTTTGCCCTTTAACAAGGGCACAGAAAAATTCCTATGTCCATCTCAGCCACAGGGAGATCTGCCAAGAGTGGAGATCTGTCTTCCCTAACGACACACCAGCACATTTCCACAGTCAGCAGGTAGCTGTGGAAGCACAGTTTTATCCTATTAGAGTAACTGCTGTTGTAACTATTTAAAAATGTGGACATGAACACAAATATAATATACAATTTTCATTGTCATAAGATGTTAAGTTGCCGTAAATGTAAAGTTGGTTTGGATTTTAATGGTAGGTAGTTATTGTAAAACTGCTAACAGAATTATAAAGAATTGTTCAAGTTACATGAATAAATGTGAGTTTAGTACACTCATATCTGCTGACCAACAGTATAGTACTATAGTGGATATAATAACTATATTAGAGTGTAAAGTGGTTCATAGTAGTGAACAGTGTTCACATAAATCCACATTAGTGTCACATCTGCTGCTCCCTGTCTGATACAATCTGTAAAACAGGACATGGCACTGAAAGGCCTGTCAGGTTGCGGGGTTGAAGAAATGTCTCGTACAATACAGATTTGTTTGGCTCACGTCTACTTGAAAAGATGCCTGGACTCTGTCCTAGAATCTAGCACAATGCAGCGGCCACAGAGTCTGGATGAATAAACATTAAAGCAGGAAACCGAGGGCCAGTCGGGCACATGATTGGCTTCAGGGAGCTTCTTTACACGCCTCGGGTGTGAGTACTTAGAATTGATTTTTTTTTTTTTATATCCCATCATTTGTAAGTATGAGCAGCTGGTGTTTCTGGCACTCGTGTGTTTGAGCTAGCTCAATCTGTGTCAGTTGAAGTTCGCAGTCTCTCCCTCTGTCTGTCTCTCGAGTAGAATGTAAACAAGTGGAACACCAGGAACACATGGCCTCCTCCTGAGAACGCTTCAGTACACAAACTCAATCATACCCACGGCAATAGATGCTCTCAAGCAACTAAAAGTAAAATGGTATTATAAAATGTATCACCAATATGGATAAATATATATAAAGATTTCACCAAGTATACTATTTTATACGTTAATCAAAAATTATTGTTACATTTTGTGTAGTCAGGAAGCTGGAATGTGGGTGCTGTGCTGACTCACTTTTCATTTCCAATTCTCAGTATAGTAGACTTTAAGAATATAAAAACATTCCAGCCTTAATGTGAGATCGATCAATCTACAGCTCATTCCTCAGTCTCTTCTACAGCCATTTAATCCTTTCTCTGACGTGGACGTGGAAATACCCTTAATAATGATGATGTCAATGACAAAATAACGTGGACGTGTTTGAAAGCTTGCAGGCTGATTGGTATCGACCAACCACAGGATGGGAGTTGGGGAGACAGGGAGGGATTAAGATCACTCAGTCTTTTCTTATCTACATGCCTGTGGGGAATGATTAGCTGTTAGTGGTTCACCAAAACCAATCGTTTAAGATTCCATGTTATATATTTTATATATTAAATAACCCTAATGTCCCACTAATGAGGGGGCTACTTTTGCATCAGTCTACTTATCTTTAAATCAATTGCTTTCTACTCTTTATCTTTAAATGATCATGTGAGCGTCTCTATGAAGTTGGCTCCTATTTTGTAAGAGATGTTCCTGGCTTCATGGTCACTTTATTTAACGGTACCTGTCACCAGTCCGTACAGACTTCCAGGCCTTCCAGACTCCTGTCATGGAGGACAGGGTCCATTAAATATTTGAACTAGGGAATGATTTACACTCATCTAAAGCCTTAACTGGATAAAACTGACAAAGATGGACGCTCCGACCTTGGGTCTCTGTCACACACATTATAAGTGCATGTCTGGGTGTCACATACTCTGTCGTGCCAATGTACTGCTGCTACAATGCAGATGACAGACAGGCGTGTCTGACCTCTGTGGATGTTGTTTCCATGCAGTGTCCGTGGACATAATTGGCTCTGGTCAGTG